ATTCACTTAATTACCTGTAGTAACTTTAGTCCATTCTTAATCTAATATAACTCATATCTCTGCTTGCTGACATTCAGGTACGTCTTCTATTTTTTGTCTCTTTTTTTTTTATTTAGCTAAAGAGCAGTATTTCATTCCAGGTAGGTTTTGCTCGGTAGTAGGACTAACTACAGACACCCTTTCCTCACCTTAAAAAAATATAGCTTCTAAAACTTTGATATGCATGCTTTTGAAAGTACAGTGGGTGCTGTGTAGATAGATGTACTCTGCATAGATCACTTGTAGCCATTTCCAGAACACCTGACCTTTGCATGCAGTGTCTGATGTTAAATATAGATATGATTAAGCACCCACCTTGTTCCTCCCTCTCTCTCACATCGGCACATTACCTAAAATTTCTCACAGTAGCTAAAATGTTTGAACCTATGGCCTTCTACTCAAACCATTTTCTCTCCTTACGTTGTATATCTGATCTTTCAACCTGTTTTTAAAATGTAGCTTGTTGAGCTGGTTTTAAAGACAGACTCCCTGTTGTCAAAGAGCTAGTTCCGCATGGATTCAGCTGCCAGCGCACAGAATGGTGGTTTTCAGTCACCGGATTTACTTTTTTATAGTTCTCATACTAGAAAACTGTGCCCTTTTGCTTGACTTGGCTTGCTGTTGCTTCACTTTTTATGCAAAAACAGCAGCTGCCTGCTGATGGAAATGCACTTGCACTTGCTCTGTGACTTCACATCCTTGCACACCTGGGGTCACAGCTTAACTCCACAAAAGCAACATTGACGTGCATCCTGAAAACATGGAAGTTCATGGGCACTGAGTGCCTTGAATAATTTAGGCTGATGAATGAATGATGAAATGTGCTGAGAAAAGTAATTGAAATGTTTTACCACTAAAATCCTAACAGGATCAAGGCTGAGGATTCTAGAACTAGCTCTTTGAAATATGTTCTTATTTTTTCCTTGCCTGCCAATTGTGTAAAATGCCTCTTGACTTGATTTTTTTAAAATGCTTATATTTAAAAAATATATGTTAAGTAGAGATTGATTGGCCACATTCACCATTCCCTGTGTATATTGACTATAATGTATTTTAACATCTATAAATAAAAATACATTCTGTAGTGTTAGTGTGCAAAACCATATCTATTTTTTTAAAGAATTCTGGGTTTGGTCTCTCTTTTAAGGAAATAGGTATTGCTTGCCATTATTGAATTATTATTTGAATAATGTTATGCATTTAACAGATTTTGTTTTATTACTTATTTTGAGCTTGAATGATCGAATAATATTTTATATATGACATTGGCTGAATAAAAAGTAACATGTTGAACAGCGGTTGATTGACTTTCACTGGCAATCTTTAAAATTCATTATTTTTACCTAATTTTTAAGAAGAAAGTTATCTGAAAGCTATTACTTACCCCCAAAAACGTTATATTCTAAACACTAGAACACCTCTGGGATAAAACATTTATATTACTTAAATCCCCAAATTTTAGTGGTTGATATCATTGTTGCTAAATTATTTAATCTATTATATTTTAATATACTTCATTACTTACTATTACACTAAATATATTTGAAATATTTATTTTATTACATAATATATTATTTTAACCCAGGCATATGCCCTTAACCAGAATCAAACCTGGGACCCTTCAGTCTGCAGGCCAACACTCTATCCTCTGAACCAAACCAGCGAGGGTTATTTTAAATAAAATTCATTAAGAATTTAGAAATCAATATTTCAGTTCAGCAAATAAAGAACAAGTCAGGTTGTTTCAGTAAATTCTGATACATTTTGGCCCTTTATTGACAGCAGCCAAAATAGGTTTTGGAAAATACCTTCTCTATCAGATATTAATTGTCACTATCTGAACATTTAATTTACATAATTTAAAATAATAATTATAGAATTCAGGACTCAGAAGAATACTTTTTCCCAGCTTTAAATTAAAATTGGAGCCATGAAATAAGAATCACTGTCATTGTATTGAAGGTGGATTATTTTTAATGTAAGATACCTATTGTACCTTTATTTAGACTTTGTTCCCAGTGTTTTCTGATTTTAATTTTAAAACAAAAGCTTCAACCACGGTACAACAGATTTTCAATAAATGTCATGGCATTAATTTCCAAATGTAATGAAACTATTATATTCAGCTTTGAAAACATTTACCTGATTTCCTTTTAACTGAATGACAATATTTATAAATTGGAAAGGTCATTCAAAAGCATGTTAGCCACAACCTAAGGATTAATGCAAACGTGCTCATGATAGTCCTTGCAGCTCTCCATGATTCGTTTCTCACTTAATTTCACATGTTTACTTGCCTACCACTGTTCTGTCTGGCATTCTAGATATTACCGTGATAACTCAAAAGAAAATCTATCTTGCAGAGAATTCATCTTTTCAAGGAATTGACAAGGGCTTAATTTGTATGCATCTTGGATGCCATTGCTTCTCCTGCAAGACCCCTTTGCTTCAAAAAATTATTAGGAAAGTTTACAAAGCACGTGCCATTCCCCGATCATTGCCACAGTAAGAAAAGAAGAGAGACCTTAGTTAGTTGTATATATACATATGCCTATTAATCTTAACGGGGATTACTGTCTTTCTTTCCTTCTTGGTGATTTTTAATTTTGCAGGAGTTCACCATTTGGGCTGTAAGTAAAAGTGTCTGATCTGAAACATACTATCCTCCCTTTTCAATCCTGATGTACCTTCTAGTCTCGGTCTTTTGTGCCCTTTTTTCCCCCCCAAGAAGAAACCACAGATCTTTTGAGCTTCTCTGTTGTCCCTGTAGCTCACCTCCAACTTCTTCCTGGCTGTTGATCCCGAAAGCGGTTGTTTCCATTCTGCAGCTCTGAGGGACGGGGGAGGGTCCTTTCCATGTGGCCCCTTTGTGTTTCCAGGAACCCTCGGTAGTAAGGCTCTCACTGCGGTCATAGACCTTCTGTGGGACGAATGCATGTCACGTACGCAGTACAACATCTCCAGAACGTCTGTAGCTTCTCTCCTGCTTCCCTTCACCTTTCCTCTCCGTCTTACCCCTGGCCTAGTGGATGGTGTAGTGATGATGTAGCGAGATTTTCTGTTGTGCTTGATCTAACCATGTGCTTGCCAGGTCTGAGGAAAACATGGTTCCGTCAAGCACCATGGAACGTCACGCAGCTTTCTACAGCATGGCGAGCTGCTGAGGCTTAATTCAGGACTGACTGGCCTCTCTTGATACAATCAAAATGAAAAATAAAATAAAATGAGGGCCTTGGAGGCATTTCTGAAGAGTAAGTGAGAGGGAGAGAATAATCAAAGACCATAGAACAATTAAAAACCTGAGTACATCTATTTGCCCGGAAAGCCCTAATTTTAAAATGATATATAGGGAGATGTGGATGACTGGATACCGTTTAAATTCTTGACGCTGAGAAAAAAAAAATTGTTTCACAACGAAATAGCCATTGTGTGCTTAGCTGTCATATAGGCTAGAATGGCTCAGAACCGGATCAGCAGACAGTACCGCTGTGAAAAGCTCATCTCTATTAATGTTTTCCTGTCCTGTGAATCTAGTTACTCTTTTTTTCCAGCAAATTCCAAGCCCTTGTTTTAACCCTCTCCTGACATCCATTGACCAAATTCCCCCAAGTTGTCTCCCTGCTGCATAATCTATAGTTATCTTCCTTTTTTCCTCCTACAAATTAACAAGCATTCTGCCCTTTAGACTCAGTATCTCTTTTATTTTATTTTTCTTGGCTTGACTCCTCAATAGGTACAGAAGATTATCGATCAAAATTAAGTGGGGACTGCTTTGCAGACTTGGCCTGCCCTGAAAAGTGCCGCTGCGAAGGGACCACAGTCGATTGCTCCAATCAGAAGCTCGCCAAAATCCCAGACCACATTCCCCAGTACACTGCGGAACTGTAAGTCCCTCTCCCCCCAGAATCCCGGACCATATTCCCAGTACACATTCCCCAGTACACATCCCTCAGTACACATTCCCCAGTACACATCCCTCAGTACACATTCCCCAGTACACATCCCTCAGTACACATTCCCCAGTACACATCCCTCAGTACACATTCCCCAGTACACATCCCTCAGTACACATTCCCCAGTACACATCCCTCAGTACACATTCCCCAGTACACATCCCTCAGTACACATTCCCCAGTACACATCCCTCAGTACACATTCCCCAGTACACATCCCTCAGTACACATTCCCCAGTACACATCCCTCAGTACACATTCCCCAGTACACATCCCTCAGTACACATTCCCCAGTACACATCCCTCAGTACACATTCCCCAGTACACATCCCTCAGTACACATTCCCCAGTACACATCCCTCAGTACACATTCCCCAGTACACATCCCTCAGTACACATTCCCCAGTACACATCCCTCAGTACACATTCCCCAGTACACATCCCTCAGTACACATTCCCCAGTACACATCCCTCAGTACACATTCCCCAGTACACATCCCTCAGTACACATTCCCCAGTACACATCCCTCAGTACACATTCCCCAGTACACATCCCTCAGTACACATTCCCCAGTACACATCCCTCAGTACACATTCCCCAGTACACATCCCTCAGTACACATTCCCCAGTACACATCCCTCAGTACACATTCCCCAGTACACATCCCTCAGTACACATTCCCCAGTACACATCCCTCAGTACACATTCCCCAGTACACATCCCTCAGTACACATTCCCCAGTACACATCCCTCAGTACACATTCCCCAGTACACATCCCTCAGTACACATTCCCCAGTACACATCCCTCAGTACACATTCCCCAGTACACATCCCTCAGTACACATTCCCCAGTACACATCCCTCAGTACACATTCCCCAGTACACATCCCTCAGTACACATTCCCCAGTACACATCCCTCAGTACACATTCCCCAGTACACATCCCTCAGTACACATTCCCCAGTACACATCCCTCAGTACACATTCCCCAGTACACATCCCTCAGTACACATTCCCCAGTACACATCCCTCAGTACACATTCCCCAGTACACATCCCTCAGTACACATTCCCCAGTACACATCCCTCAGTACACATTCCCCAGTACACATCCCTCAGTACACATTCCCCAGTACACATCCCTCAGTACACATTCCCCAGTACACATCCCTCAGTACACATTCCCCAGTACACATCCCTCAGTACACATTCCCCAGTACACATCCCTCAGTACACATTCCCCAGTACACATCCCTCAGTACACATTCCCCAGTACACATCCCTCAGTACACATTCCCCAGTACACATCCCTCAGTACACATTCCCCAGTACACATCCCTCAGTACACATTCCCCAGTACACATCCCTCAGTACACATTCCCCAGTACACATCCCTCAGTACACATTCCCCAGTACACATCCCTCAGTACACATTCCCCAGTACACATCCCTCAGTACACATTCCCCAGTACACATCCCTCAGTACACATTCCCCAGTACACATCCCTCAGTACACATTCCCCAGTACACATCCCTCAGTACACATTCCCCAGTACACATCCCTCAGTACACATTCCCCAGTACACATCCCTCAGTACACATTCCCCAGTACACATCCCTCAGTACACATTCCCCAGTACACATCCCTCAGTACACATTCCCCAGTACACATCCCCCAGTACACATTCCCCAGTACACATTCCCCAGACACTGCAGAACCGTAAGTCCCTCTTCCTACCGAATCTAGGTTGGGATGGAGGAAACAAAAGCATCAAAATAGTAGGATTTTTGTCTTGCCCTTTTATTCTCAATAATTACATTGATCTTTGTTAATACACATTTGCATAACTCTTCTATGTACAAGAATATACATGTATATATATATATATATGTGTGTGTGTGTGTGTAATATATACATATATATTATATAAATCCTCAAATGAGGATGTTTATTGATTTTAGAGAGAGATTAAGTGAGAAAGAGAAGGAGAGAAATATTGGTGTGTGAGAGAAACATCCATCAGTTGCCTCCTATATGAGCCCTGCCTGGGAATCTAACCCACGACCTTTTGGTGTATGGGACGATGCTCCAACTAACTGAGCCACCCAGCCAGGGCCAAGAATATTTTAGAGGCTATCTTAGTTCTTCTTTCTGGCCCAAGATACAATTACAGAAATTAATTTATCTCTCAAAAATCCAGCTAGTACCTAGTAATACTACTAATAATAGCATTCACTTGATATTTAATTCTTAGGCATTATTTATGCCCAAACCCATTTCTAAACAATGCATAGATGTTTTGCATATTTAGTCTTTATAGCAACCATATAAAGTAGTTTGAGAATCACCATTTTGACTGTTCATTATGAATTGAAAAAGATAGGCTTTTTTATCTGTTTTATTATCTCACTGACTCATGGCTGGAAGAACTTGGTGATTATCAGGTATTAAAACACAAAGGGTAGCATAGCAGGAAAAGCCGAAAAGACAGAGTGTGATCAGATTTATATTTATCCCCCTAACAAAGGGCCTGGCACATGCTTGCTGCTAAAATATGTTCCTTGAATCATTTGTAGGTACTATGCCGTGGACGTTTTGCCTTTACTAACTTTTCTAAGTGAGACGTTTAATGTTAGTGTTCTAAAAAATCCAAGAAAAGCCTGGTGAAATCTCATCATTTTCTTAACATCGTAGCCATGTTTCTATGTAGCACCATCTGGTATCTGTCATTATCCACTTTGCATAGTTGCTTGTCTTTCTGTGCATGCATAATCCTTTTGTCTTCAACGAGATTACGCCCCCTCGATGGCAGGGACTGTGTTTTATAGTTGATCTCCCACTGTGTCTAAACTCGTGCCTGTTACTTAATGAATTTTGAGCAATTGGAATAATTAAAAATAATGTAACGCTTTCAGAGAGATGACAGAAACTAGCTCCCTGTGATGATAGTGGTGCTTTTTTATTCCTGTTAGTTCATTAAACTATTCCAGAGCTCCGGGACTTCTAGAAAGGCATGGAGAGCATGCAGCCAAAGCCCTGAACTCTATTTTTACAGTCGTGTTGGGAGCTATGTTTATTGCCTATAATACTACAAACAATAAATCCAAATCCCATCTTCTAGCAGGAGAATGCGTTAAGGAGGCTTACTTGTCAGTCAATAATTGTATTAAAAGCAGGGCCATGTGTGTCTTAAGAAATTAAGAATTTTTAAAAAAATTATACATTTAAAAATTAGCACCTGGAAGAAAATATTTGCAAACCATATATATTATGATAAAATAATCCTATCCAGAATGAATAAGGAATTCTTACAACTTAACCATAAAATTAAGAAATAAAAACATACATTATCCAATTGAAAAGTAGTCAATTACTTGTATAGACATTTCTCCAAATAAGATATACAAATGGCCAATAAGCACATGAAAAAATGGTCAGTATCAGTAGGCATTAGGGAAATACAAATCAAAACCACAAAGCAGTAACACTTCCCACCCACTAGAATGGCCGTTAAAGAAAACACACAAAAATAACAATAATAATTGAGAGAAATAGGACCCCTCATACATTGCTGCTGGGACTGTAAAATAACGCAGGCCCTTTGGGAAAAAAGCTTGGGTATTTCTCAGTTAGACCTCAATTTCCCATGTGACCCAGCAAGTTCACACAGATGTAAGGACTGAAAATTTATGTCCACCGAAAAACTTGTGCACTGATGTTCCGAGCAGCATTATTTATAATAATCTAAAAGTGGAAGCAGACCAAATCTTCTTCCAACTGATAAATGAATAAACAATGTGGTATGTCCATACAATGGAGGAGTATTTGGCCACAAAAAGGAATGAAATATTGATAAATGCAAAACTAGTTTGAACCTTGTTAAACATTATTCAAAGTAAAAAACAAAAAAACAAAAAACAAAAACACAGAAGGCACCCTTTAATATGATTCCATTTATATGGAATGACTAGAATGGGAAAATCCATGGAAACAGAAAGTAAATTAGTGGTGGCCAAGAAGTGAGGTAGCATGGGAACAAATTGAGAGTGATTTCTAATGGGTATGGGATTTCTTTTTTGGGTGATGAATATATTCTGGAATTAAGTAGCAAAAATGGTGTCATAATTTTGTGAATATACTAAGCACTACTGAATTATATACTTCAAAAGGGTGAACTTCATGGCATATACATTATATAACACTAAAGCTTTTAAATAAATAAAAATTATGGAGTAAGTGATTAGGGGGAAAAAAATGTCCTAAAATGCTTTCTTAGGGAGGGGACAGTAAAAATAAAGCTTGTGATAAGAGAGTTTAATCTGATTTTCAATTATTGGCTTTCTCTGCTATGTGCTTCTTATATATTTTATTTTGATCATTAAAATTTGAGTGAAATGAAAAAAATTCAGTACAGTTGGCCTTGCATAGTCTTGGGTTCTACATCTGCAAATTTAAACAACCTTAGGTCAAAAATATTTTTTAAAGTTATTTTGCTGCTGACATGTCCTACTCACACATAATTAGGCTTACAGTGGTGGCCTGTTCCAAAGGTGAAACATCTACAGGCATATTTCCTTGTTATTATTCTCTAAACAATACGACATGACATCTATTTACATAGCATTCGCATTGTATAAGGTATTATAAGTAATGGAGAGATGATTTAATGTAATCAGGAAGATGTGTGTAAGTTATGCACTAATACCTCATCATTTTATATAAGGGACTTGAGCACCCGTGGATTTTGGTATGTGTGGCGGTCCTGGAACGAATCCTCCATGGGTATTGAGGGCGTGAGGGCATTTCCCACAGGTCTTCCGTGATATGTGTCCTATAGTTTGCTTCAGGATCGTGATCAAATAACGGTATCCCTCTGTATGAGAAATAAAACGCAATTCCTTCCTGACCCTTGGTGTTGAAACGTTGCTCTTTCTCTTACCCTAGGCGTCTAAATAATAATGAATTCACCGTGTTGGAAGCTACAGGAATCTTCAAGAAACTTCCTCAGTTACGTAAAATGTAAGCCGTGCATTAGCCACCTTTGTGAATTTCTGTTGAGTTTTGTTGTGTTTTTCCGACCCCTTGGCAGTTTTATTTCGATTTCTTTGGAAATTGGAAAATATAAAAAAATCCAGAGAAATGTTCCTATAATGATTACCTGTGGCACGAATTGAGAGTAATCTCTGAGAGGAACCAGAGTAATTGGTATTTTTCTGTATATTCCAATGATGCCAACTCCATTTCCCTAGCAGAGCAGTGGCATCTTTCTGTAGCTCAGACA